TTTTCAGATCTTGTTGGAGTGGAGTCCCTAGATTCTGGTGGTGTCATAATGGTCTTTCTGTTGTTGAGTGAGTTCTTATTCTCTCTTCCTCCCATATCTTCTTCTAGTGGGTGCAGGTGGGGGGTCTCTCTATCTCCTCTTGTGACCCAGTGGTGTGTGTGGGCCAGGGATTCAATGTCTGAAGCTCTGAATGGTCTTGCCTCTCCTGGTATTCTCCTCACTCTGAAGGATTTAGGCCTCCGTAGGGGTCAGGTGGGGGGCGGGAAGGAAGAGTGGGGTGTTTCCAGATTCAGGGAGCTCCTCTCTGCCTGGGCAGGTCTACCCCAAGCAGGCGCAGGCCCGGGGAGATCGGGGTGAAGGATGGTTTGGACGGTAGCTGGGTAAGAGCAGAGGCTCACTCACCTCGTTGTGGATCAGTCGGTGGAACGAGTTGCTGGATCTTGAGGTAGACTGATTCCCATTTTCCTGAGAAAATGCCATACTAATTTCCAAAGTGGTCTTACAAGTTTGTACTCCCACCAGCAATGGAGGAGCGTTCCACTTTCTCCACATCCTCTCCAGCATAGATTGTCATTGGTGTTATTGATTTTAGTCATTCTGACAGACATAAGATGGTATCTCAGAGCTGTTTTGAGTTGCATTTCCCTGATGGCTAAGGATGTTGAATATTTCCTTAAGTGTCTTTCAGCCATTTTAGATTCCCCTGTCGAGAATTCTGTGGTTCTGCACCCCACTTTTTAATTTCATCGTTTGGTGTTTTGGTGGGTAGCTTCTTGAGTTCTTTGTTCATATTGGATATTAGCCCTCTGTCAGATGTGGGGCTGGTTAAGATCTTTTCCCATTCTGTGGGCTGCTGTTTTGTCTTGCTGACTGTGTTTTTTGCCTTACAGAAGTTTCTCAGTTTCAGGAGGTCTCATTTATTAATTGTCGATCTCTATGTCTGTGCCCCTGGTGTTAAAGAAACGGGCTTCTGTACCAATTCGTTCAAGTGTACCTCCTACTTTCTCCTCTAAGAGGTTCAGTATGGTTGGATTTATGTTGAGGTTTGATCCATTTGGACTTAAGTTTTGTGCATGGTAATAGATATGGATCTATCTGCAATCTTCTACGTGTCTGAATCCAGTTATGCCAGCACCATTTGTTGAAGATGCGTTCCTTTTTTTCCATTTTATAAATTTAGCTTCTTTGTCAAAAATCAGGTGTTCATACATGTATGGGATAATATCAGGGTTTTCAATTTGACTTCATTGGTCTATGTGTCTACTTTTGTGCCAATACCAAGCTGTTTTCAGGACTATGGCTCTATAATAGAGCTTGCAGTCAGGGATGGTGATGCCTTCAGAATTTCCTATATTGTACAGGGTTGTTTTGGCTATCCTGTTTTTTTGTTTTTTCCATATAAAGTTGAGTATTGCTCTTTCAAGATCTGTGAGGAACTGTGTTGGGATTTTGATGGGGATCGAGTTGAATCTGTAGATTGCTTTTGACAAGATTGTCATTTTTACTATGTTGATCTACCTATCCAAGAGCATGGGAGATCTTTCCATTTTCTGGTATCTTCTTTAATTTCTTTCTTTAAAGACTCAAAGTTCTTACTGTACAGGTTTTTCACCTGTTGGGTTAGTGTTACCCCAAGATATTTTATGTTGTTTGTGACTACTGTGAAGGGTGATATTTCTCTGATTATTTATTTATTTAGTTTTGCAACTAGGCATCTGAAATTATTTAGATTACAATTCTAAGTGCTGACATCTCATCTTGCCTTTGTTGGGTTGGTGTTTTGTTTCTTGGTTTCTGTTTCTCTGTTTCCTCTCTGATTATTTGGACTAGTTGGTGGTTCTGTGTTGCTGATTAGTAGATTCTTCTGGAGTCCTGATAGGTGTAGTCACTAAAGGTCCCACGTAATATTTTTGGTATTGGGATCTGACACTTAACAATGGGGATGGCCAGAAAGGGGGCTGTAGGAGTTCACAGGAATGGGGGAAAGCAGAATGTTCTATCAGAATCTACCTAGTCCCCTTGGAATGGTGGCAGAGGGTGAGGAAAGGCCACAGTAGAAGATTTGCTACAGAGCTGGGGATGAGATTGGGGATTGACCTTGGAGGAATGGAGAAGGGAAAGGTCAAGATCCACAGTTAGCCTACCTGCTTCCCTGGTAAAGTGGCCCATGGAGTTCTCATACATTTCAGGATGATGTTGGGAGCTGAGAAAAAGCAATGAACAGGGTAACAGGGGTTAGGATGGGAAGATCCCTGTGATATGCTGGAGAGGAATACGATGATGAAGGGAGGTTGCAGTAGGTGTTTTGCTGCAGAACTAGGCATGGGGGTGGGGAGGTTTGGATTTGGAGGAGCAAAGGGAGAGGTGAAGTTCTACATGCAATTGACCTTCTTGCTTCCCCGGCTGGAGTGGCTTGTTGGGTTCCCAGGGAATTCTTGCTGTAGTTGGGGTCTGGGATGAAGCAATGATTGCAGAGTGGGAGTTGAGGAGTGGAAGATCTGTGTAGTCCTCTGGAGATGGGAACAATCGGCAAAGGCAACATCATCATGTGGTCTGCTGAAGAGCTACTGATTAGACTGGGGACTGGACTTGGAGAAGGGGCATAGGTCAAGACTTGCAGTTACTCTATCCCTTTCCCTGGTCACCTCACAGGTCCTTTCACTACTCAGCTCCCGTTTAACTTCTTTACTCTAGTTAAATACAGTTTTATTTTCCAATTCTGATTGGCAACAAAGAGAAATGAAAATATCCTACTTTGGTTAGGAAGCATCTGGGACTACCCTGGCCAACAACACATAAGGAGGTACACACACCTGGAAGGTACTTTTTTCTTTTAAGTCACGAGGTTTTTGTTTTGTTTTGTTTTTCCTGATTTAATGTCATTGTGATGGACCTTTTTTTAATCTTCCACTGGTTAACTTTGGTAGTTCATATGCACTTAGAAATTTATCTACTGAATTTGGGATTTATAATTTATTGGAATAAGTTTTTTAAGTTGACCTTATGATCTTCTGGATTTCACTGGCATGTGTTGTAAGGTCTCTATGCATTCATCCTGATCAATTTTTGTCTTTTCTATATTTCTTTTGGGTAACTTGGCTAAGTGATTATTAATATTGTTCCTTGTTCTCAACAACCAACTCTTCATTACATTTATTTTACTTTTGTTTGTTTCTATTTTATTAATTTCTCTTGTGACCTTACTTATTTGCTTTTGTTCAATAATTTGGAGTTTGGTTTCTTCTTGTTTTTTGAAGGCTTCAGTGAATTATCCAGTTGTTTATTATGTTTATGATCTGTAATACCAATGATTTGAGCTGTAAAATAAACTTCTGAGTTCATTGTATCCAATAGGTTTTGATATGTTGTGCTTTCATTTTAATTTGTCTCCCTGTTGATAAAAATGCCACAAATGGAAACATGCTTATATTTTAAGCAGGGACACCAATGCACCTAGTCACAGATACTTCTAGAATTCAGATTTAAATTATGTCTAGTTTCCTAACATAAATGGATTCAACAAATATTGGAAATGGAATGTTTGTGGATATTTTACCTGTCTAGACCATGCTTGAGGTGCAGGTGAAGTGTATGATGGAGACAAAGTTCTAAGAGTCTCTTACCTATCAGTGTTGTATGCTGCCATGGGACAGGAATGTGTCTATTCTTTTTATGTATGTCAGTCAATCAAAGGATCTAGAAAGTTTAAGGTTATTTTATTGTCTTGTCTAGGATAAGGTGTATTTATTCTTTATTATTATTATCAAGTTATATGTATGTCAATATTAAATCAATCCATACATAATATTTTTGTGCACTTCAAGGGGGTAAGTGTAGCTGGTTTAGTTTCAGCATGTGGAAGATTTCGTATATATTGATGAAACAATAAATATTTCTAAAACCAGTAAAATGACTGTTATTTTGTTTAAAACTATTATGTATTTCCTCTATGTCTTTTTTTATGGACTTCAAATTTTAATAACTGTTTTGTTAAGAAAGACATTGTATTACGGCTACTATTGCTGTGATGAAACACCATGATCAAAAACAAGTTGGGGGTTAATTTGCTTATACTTCCACAGCACAATTCATCATAAAAGAAAGTTGGATAAGAGCTCAAAAAAAGAAGGAACCTGAGGATAGAAGTTGATGTACAGGCCCTCCAGGGGAGCTACTTACTGGCTTGCTTCTCATGAATTTCTTAGCCTGCATTCTTATAATACCCAGGACCACCAGCCCAGGGATGGAACCTCCTGCAGTGAGCTGTGGCCAACCCATCATTCTCTGATTAAGAAAATGCCCTGCAGCTAGATATTATGTAATTACTTTATCAATTGTGGTTCCCTCTTTTAAGATAACTCCAGCTTGTATAAAGTTGATAAACTAGCCAGCTGGCACATTAATATTTTCTATAAGACCACATTTGCAGTAACATGCCATTATTATAAAATCCATGTCAGTGATTTTAACTTATAAAATATTTGGAATGATTCTATACATGTTTATTTGGATCAATTTCATACAGTTACTACATTTATTGCCAATCTTTATAGCATAAGGTGTTCATAGGAAAAATAGATGATTATAACAATTTTCAGGATCCCAGTTTGGTCACATTCACAATTTTCAGCAATCTTCACTACTTCACTATCTTCTGCCTCATAAATTTCATTTGGGAAATACAAAAACATGTAAATTCAACTGACTGTGATAAGCCATACCTTAATCATGGCACTCGAGAGAGTGAGGCAGATACAGAAGTTTTGGGTCAGCCTGCACTATGATGAGAGACTTTATCTAAAATGAATAAACAAATAAATGAAGCTGAATTCCTTTATACTCTAGTAAAACATAGTTTTGTTGTGGATAAATGAGGATAAATTAAATTCATCAACCTTTAGATACAATATGGATACAATGAGACAGTATTCACAGTTCTAGGTGGTTAGTTTTCTAAATTTTCCAATATGTTTCTTAAATTAAGTCCATGGGACCTGTTATTAAGTGACACAAAAGTGGAGCCTTTTTAGAGATCTGCTAATGTCCTGATTCCTCAAACTGTAGATGAAAGGGTTTAGCATGGGTGTGACCACAGTGTACATTAATGAGGCCACCACATTGTTTCCAGAAAAGTCAGACAAAACTGAAGCAAAATACTCTCCAAGCCCTGTTCCATAAAATAAGCACACCACTGTTAGGTGAGATCCACAGGTGGAGAAGGCTTTACACCTCCCACCTGCAGAGGTGATTCTCAGAATAGAAGAAATGATTTTAAAGTATGAGATAAGGATCCCTGATAAGGGAAAAACACCAAGTATAACACCAATAACATACATGAGTATGCTATTATCAAGTGTGCTGCTGCATGCTAAGCTTAGAAGTTGAGAAGGGTGGCAGAAGAAATTAGGGATTTCCACATCTTTGAAACATTTAAGTTGTAAGGCAATAAAATTGTAAAGCAGAGATTCAAAAAGGCTAGCTGAAAAAGATACTAAAACTAAGATGCCACAGCGACAAGGGTTCATAATTACTGTGTAATACAAAGGGTGACAGATGGCAACAAACCTGTCATACGCCATTACAGTCAGAAGCATACTATCCATACATGCAAAAATGACAAAAAAAGACATCTGAGTCAGACATCCCACATAGGATATGGCTGTACTGTGGATTTGAAGGTCTGCAACCATGTTGGGGACTGTGGTAGAAATGAAGCCAGTGTCAGCCAAGGACAGAATAGAGAGGAAGAAATACATAGGAGTGTGGAGATGGGAGTCAGAGCTGACGGTCAGGATGATGAGCAGGTTCCCAAGGACTGATATCAGGTACATGAACAGGAACAACCCCCATAGAAAGGGTTGCAGTTCTGGATCATCAGAGACTCTCAGAAGATAGAATTCTGAAACATGTGTTATATTTTTTGTTTTCATTTTCATCATTGCCCTAGTAAAAAGGAAAGGAATGATTGCAAAAAATTAGTCAAATATAAATTAACTCTGAATTTTAGACCATTCCAATGCAAATACTCTTATTTATGGTTTTCCATGTTCTTACAAAAGTATTTTTGGGTTCCACAAAGGCAATATTTAAAGTCTTTCATTACTGCTTTGTATGTTATTCACTTCCTTATGTACACAAATAATTCAGCTACATTCATATGAGCCAGACTTATTCCATAAGTCATATTTCAGGTCTTCAAAATATGTTAGTTTAGATGCACATATTACTGGGTGCTTGAATGTTTATGTAGATACAGTGTGTTACAATTATTGATAGTAACATTAAACAATATTTATGGAACATTTTCTAAATATCAGGAAATATACAAGAAAATTTTATACCTTGATCAAGTTTAAATATAAAAATTTAAAATCTACATATTCCTTCATAATCTGATATTTTTGACATACCAATGTGAAGCTGATCCAGAGTTGGTGGAAACCAAATTGAATAAGATGTCTGAATCCTCACTTAAAATGCCATTGTCCTCAGAGTAAAACAGATTATATTGTTATTCTCACTGCTGCCTTCCCAACTTGTTGAAGACATGCAAGACTTCTCCATATCCACCATCTCTCACAACTCATTTACTCAAGCTTCTCTTTCTGAGTCATGAAGAGGCAATGGAGATTTGATTACCATTGTACCTAGTGTCAGATGAAGGCACACTCTGTGCCCCCAGCATAGATATAAAGAGTCAGAAGCTTCTACGGGTTTATTTTTGACCATTCCATGGCCTTAGAGGTTCACTGAAGGAGTTCATAATTACACAAATGGGACCGGGTTGGACTAGTCTCTATGGAATTTATGATATTTGTGGAAGAGCAGGAGAAAGTAAATATCTACAGTATGCCTTTGAGCTCTCTGTACTTAGATTAAACTATTATGTATGAACTCCAGTATGTGGTCTTATGTACATTAAAATTCTATCTAATTTTTTTCCATTAATGCCTAGGAACTTGGCACACATCTGGGATCCAGCAATCTTGATGAAAAGAAATGAGATTTACTAATATAGGCCAGTGTAGGCTGCATATGGGGACAATGTAACCCAAACCTTGTATGATTATAAACATATGTACACTCTTTAGTGATATCAAATTCATTCACATTGTTGTGAAAATATCAACATGGTACCTCTGAAACATTTCATTTTCCACATAGAAAAAATACTGGCAAAGTCATTATTCATAAGTGTTATAATCTTGAAATGACCATTAATTATGAAAATTTGTTAGATGTTTAATGTATTAAAAGACAGGATTTATTGGCCTATACTTATGCTCCATCCCTTTTTATCCAATCTATGTTGGAAAAGATATTTCATGTTTTCAGGCATCACTGTGCTAATAAAGTCTACTTATGGCACTTTTGATGATAATTTTCTCAAATTGTAGGTGAAGATATTCAGGCTGTCATTTATTTATTTATTTATTTATTTATTTATTTTAATTAGAAAGAAGAGTATTTTAAATGTCAATCCCAGGTCCTTCTCCCTCCCCTACTCCCCTGCTTCTCCAACTAACACCCTAGCTTTCTGCTCCCCAGGGAGGGTGAGGCCTTCCATAGGGGGGGTCTTCAAATCTGGTCTTCAAAAAAGGTCTGCAATATCCTTTGGGATAGGGCTTAGGCCAACCTCATTGTGTCTAGGCTCAGCGAGTATCCCTCCATGTGGGATGGGCTCCCAGAGTCCATTCCTATGCTAGGTATAAGTACTGATCCACTACAAGGGGCTCCATAGATTTCTAAGGTCTCAGCCAGATAAACTAGAGGAAATAAATTCACCAGGCTGTCATTTATAAACTCACCACCATGGTAACAGAAATTATGTCAAGTTTGTGAAACTGAAATGGACATCTGCATGATTTCATGATGATAATGAAACAAATTTCTGACTGAGCCTCTCTATTGTGGAGTGAAATTCTTCCCACTGCCTCTTAAAATAACAAAAGTTAGATACTGTCCTTAGTCCGGGATATTTCTGACATCTCTTCCCTGGTCCTCTTCCTGTCTCTGCACCATCCTGTCCATGATGTCTCTTGCTTTTGCTTTCAGCTATCTCCCATAGTGAAGCCATTCTCCACACTTTAAAGGAAAGTCTTCCCTACTCCTTTAAGGCCCATTATGTCTCTGACACAATGTACCGTTGTTTTATATTGTTCTCTCTAAAGGCCTGATCATGACTCCAATGATCCTGACCCTTTTGTCCCAGTACAGCTCATCATTATGAATGGTAATGACATGTCAGCTCCTTTCCTGATCCAACCCAACATCATGTAAGTAGCTGGCAACAGAATACATGTTTTAATACTGTGTTTTGTTTTGTTTTGTTTTGACACAGGGTTTCTCCGTGTAGCCTTGGCTGTTATGAAATTCACTATGTAGATGGGGATGGTCTCCAACTCAGTGTTCCACCTGCTTCTGCCTCCTGAGATGTGAGTAACAACCATCCTGATATGTTTTAGTTTTAAAGTTGTTCAGAGTACCTCACCCAATCCTTGAAAAGGAATGATCCTGGTAGTTTAGAGTTGCATGAGAACTTGTCCTTTGTGAATTGAGTGAGAAAGATGGTAGGCTTCCTCTTTGCAGTGTTTGGTGGTGTCTTGAACTTACAGCATTCTAGGTTTTTAATTAAAGTATTGCAGCAGATGGGGTTGGATAGATGGCTCAGTGTTTAAGAATATTTGTAATGTAATAATGTAATCCACCATATAAACAAACTGAAAAAGAAAAACCACATGATCATCTCACTAGATGCTGAAAAAGCCTTTGACAAAATCCAACATCCCTTCATGATAAAGATCTTGGAGAGAACAGGAATAACAGG